GGGGAAGAAAAAAGTATAACCGCGCAAAAAAAAAAAAAAAATTAAAAAAAAAAAAAAAAAAAAAAACAAACATGCCATCTCCTGAAAAAGTTAGAAATCTCGAAAAAGAAAAAAAAAGAAACAAGAAAATTTATGATTGTACGATTCAGGCGCAGCTCAGCTTATTGTGTATTGCTTGAACTTTGTTAGTAATTTGAGCGCTGCGGAAAAAAGTAACTCAACTTATAAAGCTAAAGACAAAGTTGTAAGCGTGTAAAAATGATTCATAATTTAGCTTTCGATTTTTTCCCGCGTCGTCGTTGCAAATTACAGAAGTTAGTGCTCTTTGATATTTTTTGCACAGCAGTGTACGATTATTTTAGCTACTTGTTATTTGTGTTCAATTACAATGTAATTTCATTTTTATAATAATCTCATAAAATATTTTTGCTGTTTTTTCTACTTTTTATATTAATTTTAAAAATTTCTCTTTCCTAATCCACCACGTTTCGTAGTTACTCTTGACATTGATTTTTTATTCAACAACTCAATAGAAGCGTGGAAAAACGTACAATCTCAAAAATCAATTGTAGCAACTTATTATCTCATATTCGTGTACAAAAAAACGTACTACCAAAAATATCATCTAATGATGAGTTAACTCAAATTTGTTTAAAAAAAAACATCGCAAACTGTTTATAGGACATTTTTTCCTCGAATGATACTTTTAAAAAATATATTATTTTAACCAATATTGAAAATAAATTACTAAAAAAATTATTTGGTAAACTATCATCTCAAAAATATTTTTTTTACTATGAATTGTTTCTAAACATAGTTTATAGTACGTTTTTTGAATGGTTAGGAGATGATTTGTCTTTTCAATAAAAATTTTGAGATAACACTTTCTTCCACTCAGCTACTGAACTGTCGAGGATCCGACGACACCTTCATCGAAAAACCGAAAGCATTTTACCAATCCTTAAAAAAAAAAAAAAAAACAACAACTATTCTATTTCTAGCTTTTTCAAGTTTGGTGGCCATGTCTTTTTCTTGAAGTATATACTTTTCAATCAAATTAATAATAATTTAGTTCGTAATGTTAATATTTATTCGTAGGTCTCACGGAATCGACAACACATTATTGTCAATTGTACAATATTATTAGTAAACATAAAATTGTTCAAAGTAGTAGCTCAATATTTGAAAAATACAACTAAAAATTCCTGGAAAGGACAATAATGTCGTTTGCAGTGTGGCCGTTATAGAGTGTCGAGTTGCGATGAAATATAAGGTAAGTCTGTCTTGTACAGTGGCCTCGTTGACTTGTTCACATAATAGTTAGCAGTATAGTTATTGTTCATGTGTTCCGTCTTCAGTGAATTAAAAATTCAGCGAACGAACAAATGGATGGAAGCACAATAAGCAATTGACCGCTAGAAAATATATTTTTTTTCTAAAATCTGCTCAACTATTTCTGCACAGATAAGATAACCAGACGAAAATTATCACGTTTGCCAGAAAAAAAAAAAAAAGTTAAATGGAAAAATAATATGTGTCCGAGAGAGTAAAGGAAGAGAAAAAAAAGGGAGTTAGACATTGGCCCGGTTGTGGAGGACGCGGACGCGAACGACAGAAGGGCTGACCACGATCCTTTCATGGCGGACCCACTTGCGGGTGATCTGCTGCCTTCTAAGGTCGCTCATGTTAGCAATGCGCTTGATTAGTGTCCACTCGGAGGGTACGTTGCCTGGAAATACAAAAGATCAAAGAACAACGGCGACAAATTGGTGTGTGCGATCGATCGTTTTTTTCGGTGTGAAAACGTGAAAAGTTGTTTTTTTTTTTTTTTTTTTTTTTTTTTTTTTTTTTAATAATCGAGCTTTTCTTGACTCTGAATTTATTTCCAGTGACAAAGTGCGTCTGCATGAGTTTTACTTACGAGATCTCAGTTCTGATGGATAATAAGGGCTTTGAAAAATTTTGGAAAAAAACTCAAAAGTGGATTAATTGAAACGATAGCTAACTGACTGATTGCATATGGAGCGAGAAAAAAATGAGCCACAGATTCTCAGCGTGCGACGGTGGTATTCTGTATACTATACTGATGAATGGCGACGTTGGCTGGATGCGTGATGGCGTTATATTATGATCTTGTCGACGTGGAAGTCTTTCCTGGATTAATTCCTTTTTTTTATAAGCCCAACTAGTGTCGAGCTCTTTGTAATGTGTTGCAGTGAAAAAAAAAAAAAAAAAAGAGAGGAATAAAATTCTAAGTAATCTGAAAAATTACGCTGATTCGCGCGATGAAGGCATGGCGACGAATCCTCTCACGACTTATGCTTTTACTCGCTGCAGGTACTTTGAATGTTTGAATTTTAGAAAACAAAGAAAAAAATTAATGAAAAATTGTCTTTCGATCTAATTTTTGCATAGCTCACTTTATTTATTTATTTTATCTTCGAACCTACTACTATTTATCAAGTAGATCCCAAGTCGGCATGATTTGTTTTGAACTATTGCTTGTATTATGGACACATTTTTCATTTAAAATTTGATGTTTGGGAAAACGTATGTTCCATCGAAAACGTTTTTGTGACGCATAAATAACGTTTATATTGTCCAAAGGACACATTTTTGCGTTTGTTCACTCGAGCAATTGTCTCACTTGATGTGTATCTGGGTTTGAATGGACGTATACAACGAACAGTAACTTTAAAAGTTAAGACAAGGGCGGTGTACACATAATAACAGGGATAAACAAATTACACAAATTTTATGTACTTTTTTTCTTGTTGTTTTGTAATTAGTTACGTTTTTTTACACAAACAGACACGTAATATTCACAAGGTGATAATCAATTCTTATTGGATAAGTAAGAAAAAAAAAGTACCAGCTGTGGTGGTACATTAAAGTTCAATAGTCGATTTTTGCTACAATCAGCTTCGGATTGTAAAAAAAGGGGCCAAAATCTAATTTCTCTCGTCCAACCACAGCCAATACTACCGATTGAATCAGTAAAAAAATGACACTGTGACAAGATTAATCTTTTTTTCTTTTTTTTTTTTTTTTTTTGCGTAGAAAAACAGTCGTAATTGCGTTTTTTCTCTCATTTTTTCACTTTGATCGATAATTGTCACTTACACTTATAGTTGATTTTCTCCACATATTTGTCTACTGTTTTATATAAATAAAGTGTAATTAAATGTGAAACAAAGTTTTTAGCTTCCGATCACGAGTTGCATTTAAACATTTTATTTTTAAATCATACAAAAAAATGAGAAAAATATAATAAAAATAACTATGAACATTAAGGATGATAAACTTAAACATAACGCTATTCATTATTATGAGAACGTAAGAAAATAATTTTTTATCATTATAATTTTCTTTTTCTTTATTTTCGCCCGATCAATCAAGAAGCCAAAAACATTCGTCAAGGTTACATGTACAAGTATATAGGGACTTAATTGCTACACTGTCATGAGCATCATGTTATATCGTCATTAGTTACTTGATTTTTAATAAACGGAGTAATAATATATGGTAAATAAAGTATAGGTATATGATGAGCGACGATGTATATCGTAAATCTATAAATTTTTGTTCAGTGGACTGGAAACATTCACTCATGCGGGATGCTGTGCAAACTATAATTATTATAATTCGATCGTGACATGATTTAATAAAAGAAAAAAACACGTGAGATATACGTCTAATCTCGAATAATTTTTCTATCCCTACAAATATATTTTTTCTTCCGTCTATACTGAAATAACAGAATCGTCGTTCATATATATGTATACTTTAATCATTTTCGATTTATATTAACAATAACGATCGAGTTGTGAATATGCAATAACGTATCATAATATGTATAAACTATATAATTAATAAATAATCGTAGTAAATAATAGTAATAATAAATATAACGTCTTCCACCAGTCGTTGATATCATATGAGCGCTTGACATTTTTATAACCACGGAAGAGATAACACTTTCTTCCACTCAGCTACTGAACTGTCGAGGATCCGACGACACCTTCATCGAAAAACCGAAAGCATTTTACCAATCCTTAAAAAAAAAAAAAAAAACAACAACTATTCTATTTCTAGCTTTTTCAAGTTTGGTGGCCATGTCTTTTTCTTGAAGTATATACTTTTCAATCAAATTAATAATAATTTAGTTCGTAATGTTAATATTTATTCGTAGGTCTCACGGAATCGACAACACATTATTGTNTCCTTTTCTAAAGATAACTTGAAATTGTTTGTTTTGATAATTTTTTTGATTATTTTTTGTTTGTTATTTCGTCGAAGGGGTGCTTTAGTAGTACCTACCGGGAACGAAGCGCTCGACGGGTTTGTACTGGTGTGGGTACAGCTGCCTCGGCGAGTGTCCGTAGATCTCGCGGTGCACTGGCAAGTACCTAAACAAATTTTTCGACCGATCGATTTATTTTTGCGGAACTACAATGAGATTGAACATTTTCGAAATTAAATGTCATGATCGGTGGAAGAAAAAGAAAAAATGTTGCACCTGTATCCTGGCGTGCTGATGCGGTCAGCAGCGTGGATCGGGTCGTCGTAGATGGACTTTCCAAAAGGATTCCAGGAATGTAACTCTGGGAAGTCAGAGCGGAAGATACCGCGGGGTCTGTGCACGTGCTCGGGTGCCTTTATGTCGTCAGTGCCTATTTTGAAACAAATTAAAAAAAAAAATAAAAAATAAAAAATAAAAAAAGATAAATAAATAAATTGTCATTTCTGACTCACATAAGTATTGATAAACTGTGCGTAGGGGTAAACTGCCCAGAGGATGACCACTGCATGGAAACATTTTCATAATTATTACAAGAATTCCTATGTATTTGTAGAAAAAAGTATCTTGGGCTTTGAAAAATTTTGGAAAAAAACTCAAAAGTGGATTAATTGAAACGATAGCTAACTGACTGATTGCATATGGAGCGAGAAAAAAATGAGCCACAGATTCTCAGCGTGCGACGNAACGTGCCCTCGGAGCGAGAAGGAGTTTATCGCGCCCCCCCCCCGTGCGATATCTCGCTGCAAATTGTCTCGTGTAGTTTTTGAGCGCCCACCCTCTCTACCCTCCCTGGAAAATTGATCCCAACTTTTTCCGCGGTTTTTTGCGCTCGAGTTACTTTTCGGGAGAGCTGCTGAAAGATGCATGCACGACTTTCATTCGAGTTTGTAGATGGTGTCGTGGCAAATTGTTTGGTGTAGGACAGTGTCGCCTCTATTTCCCCCCTTAGGTCGAATTCTTGGTATAATTTTGCTGTCAAGTCAGAACCGTGATTAGAAGTTGTAGGGCAGTGACTGCTTTTTTCAAGACTAGGGTTATTGGAATGTTTTCCAAACATTTTACTAGCAATTGTGTATATAGGAAAACAAAAAAAAACAATTAAATAAAAAATACAATGGCAAGTTGAAAAAAAAACGGTAAATCATCTGTTTTCATCGGTAATAATTATCATTTTTGTGTATGGCACCTCTAGCGAAAGGAAAGAAAAAAAAAGGGGAGAAAAGAGAGAGAGAGAGAGAGAGTCAAAAACGAGAAGTAAAAGACCACGGCGCAGAAAGGGGGTGGAGGGCGAAAAACTTTTCCCATTCGCGGTGGCACCACTTCTCATTAACCACTGTAGCGCCGTCTCCTTCCCGTGTCCCTTTTATCTCCCTCCTCTTTCCACGCGCAGCCCATACATGTACAGTCCCCGGGGGTTATTTCAGTCGATTATCCCCTGTGCTCCTGCGGGTCGGAGTGCCACAGATCGACCCACGTTGGCTCGACGACTCTATTAAGCTCTACCCCCCCCCCTGCCCATCCGCCCCGGATAACGTCCTCACCCACTGCTCTGGCTTGTAATGTCCGAGTGAAAAGGCGATGCTACACGCGTATAAGTACCCCTTGGATGTGTGCACGTCAGTATATACAAAATGCATAATACGCTGCTCTTTGGCTCCTTTTGCCCATTCGTACGCTAAGCATCGATTTTTCTCGCGCACGCCAACCCTGTCTGACGCTCTTTTTTTAACCTTTTTTCTTTTTTTTTGTTTCTCATTTACGTACTCTTTGTTTTTCGGTTTTTGTGTTTTTTTTTTTTTTTTTTTTTTTTTTTTTTTTTTTTTTTTTTTTTTTTTTTAAAAAAAGGGGGGGGAAAAAAAAAAAAAATATTAATCATCACATCTAGAAAAAAAAAGTGGCAACGCACTGCCGATCCCTGTAACGTTGGAGCTTTGAGCTTTTTTGCCTCGGCACACATACACGGCACCCCCGACCAATAATAACTATTGGCACAAATATCCCGCGCGGATAAACACCTTGGGCAACTCGAGTACTTCATATGTATATATAATACACGCTCGAATCGACGAGTCCGCAAAAATCGCGGATATTATTCATCGTTTGGACGAATAATATTACAGCGAGGTATTTTCGGGCGACGCTATATAATGCGCTATCGAAATAAATACGCGAGGAAGAGGTGGCTCGGTATTTTTGGACGCGATTTGACAGATGGGTCTTTCGACTTTGCACACACGCTCGACCTTATGAACATACGAAACGGAGGAAAAAAAAAAAAAAAAAAAAAAATGAAGGAAAAAGAGCGTGAATGAATGAGCCAATCGACATTACGAACAGTATAGGACCGGCGCCGACGCGATCTCTAATTACGTCGAGATTTACACGTCTTTCCCGAAAATTTATTCCCCTCCCTTCGGTCCAGCTTGTCGCAGAGCTTCGTGAGCTTTATCGTACGTAATTGCTAATTATGTAAATTATCGCGCTTAATAGGAAGCAGGTGCTCAATTAATCATCGCCCGTTTACGCGAGCGCGATCCTTCTGCGAAAGACTAAAAACAGCGGGTGTACCCATACGTGCTCTCTCGTGCAGTTGGGGGGTGTTTATTTTTTTTTGCTCTCCATCTAGCTCTTGTGAAAAATTTATAGGGTCATTGATACGGTATTTTTATTTTTTATTTTTATTTTTCGACAACAGCCAGATGTAATGAGCGCTGATATTTGCCAGCCTCGCAAAGTGATGCACACGCGTTGCGCAATAATTGGCTGTGCCGCTTTGAAACACACAATCACACACACACACACACACACACACATATATATANTTTTTGGTTAATCCTTCAAATATATATATATACACGTGGTCTCGTTTTTTGTCGGAGATGAAGCAGCGCACGTGTCAAGTCCGAGCGGCCAATTGGCTTGTTATTTCACGCATACGGTCCGAGATAACGATCGAGCTTGCAAGCTCTCTTGCCGTTTCGCCCGATGGAGTTATAACGGGAAGAAAAAAAAAAAAAAAAAGAAAAGGGGTCGCCGTCCATTTGGCATTAAAATATTTGTCCAAGCGCTTTTGTTTAACGTCGCGATGGAACTTTTCCATTGGCTGGATGGTATTGCGCGCGTGTCGCTCAGCCCCGAGTCGTATCGAATTTCGGGGGGTCGGATTCACTCTTCCGAGCGACTTGTTTATTTCCCGATGTATTTTCCCGGCGGGATCGCCGCGGTGAAATGTCGCGTGACGCAAGGACGCGGGGGCAAACACGGGAGGCCCCGGCCGCGGATCTATACTTAGAAGCGCCCGGGCGCGACGCTTTTACACCTCTCCCCCCTCGTTTGTCTCTGAAAAAACAGGTGGACGAGCCGAAGGGTGACTTTGACCGGTTTTTCGCACCGATTGCGCGCTACTGCTTTTTCCTCTACGCGATCGGCATTTCGGGGATCGGTAGTTGATTAGGGTTGACATTGCACGGTTATTTTTGTACGCTTTTCCACCGCTTGCAAACATAATTTACTGAAAAAAAGAAATTGTTTTTGTTGTTTTCATGTATTGACAAAAAAAAAGGTGTGATATGCTTAAACGGTCGACGGAACTGAAATTACGTGGGCGCGCGAGATAAGAAAAAAAAAGATCGAGCCCGGCCCCGAAGTCCGAGCCGGCGATTTATTTGCGCAAGTCCGCCGAATGGTCGTGAAAATCGGCGAATTCCTCTCGCGCAGCTGTTCCCGTGGATCCATATAACTTGATACCTGCGGGCCCTCGTTGCGCCAAAACTGTACTACACACAGGGCGGGGCGTGTTAAACCGAGCGTCGCACGCGCGCGCGTCCTCCTTCTTCAATTGGGTCATTGTCGTATACGCGTGCCTCTCCTCTTGGCCATCGGGCAATCGGGGTCAGAGTTTTGGAAACGAGAGTTTTTTTTTTTTTTCTATGCTTTCGATCGTTTCTAAGTATACAAGTAAGACTCGAGACAGCAGCTGCAAGCTCGAGCGCGATGGTATAACGTACCTCTTCAATGAGATTCCGTTGTCGAAAGGCACGTCAAGGTGGGCCACATTGTGCACGTATATACAGGCAGACGGTGCACGGCGCCGCCGGCAATCTAGATGCCTAATAATAGCCGTGCCAGTGCGTATACGAATCTCTCGGGGCAGCGGTCCAAGATGGGAAACACTCGAGGAGCTTTTTATCGCGGGCGGTTCACTTGACTTTTCAAAGCATTCCTCTGCTTCTTTTTTCGTATACGCTCGACTCTTGGGGAGGGGTGGCTTTCGTTGCGTAAGCTTTTCGCTGAACATTGAATATCGGTATTTTTTTTTTTTTTTTTTTTTCCCAGTACAATCGTTCGCGAGCTCGAATGTATAAAAGCACAATCGCTAAGCGTCGATTTTTTTTCGGTCCAAAGGTCGGGCACAATGGCGAGCTTGACTATCCGGTTTATTAATAGGCATTGTTAATCCAACTCAAAGATCGAGAAGCGAAAGCTTGGTGTACGGTGGTAGTTGCGAGAATTCGGGATCCTCGAAATAGTAGTTGACTCGTTTTTGGCGCGAAAGCTCTCATCTGTTTGGTTTTTCAATGGTCACGACTTTCTTTCGTGGCAGTGATTTTTTACCCCGAAATTTTGGGATGAAAACCTTAAAATCTGATGAAAAATTCTGTCGAGGGAGTGTTTCACGAAATTTCGTTCTCAAGTCGTCACGAAAAGAGAGAAAAAAAAAAAAAGCTTTGGCCGAAAATAAATTGATCCACGACCGACCATCGCCACTGTTTCCATACTTTTGAAAGAATCGAGGAATCCCAAATCCCACTTGGTACACGCTTTGGAGCAAAAGCTCGTCCACAATATTTCGATGGGGACGTCACACGACTAAAATTATTCGGAAACCCAAGCACGCATACACCCATACATACCAGCGCGCATACGCAAAGACAGCTCACCAAAGAAATTCCCAGTGGGTGGTGTTTTCTCTCCTCCCTCTTTTCGGATGGCGAGCGAAGGAACACAACAAAGTACCACAGTTTAACGAATGGCACGCGCGTCAGAGCGATGGAAATTTGTTGCAGCCCGACAAGGCTCTTGACGGCTACTACGGATGTGTTACCTCGACGCCTACCTCGACTTTTTGCAGAGCATCCCCTCCACCCCCTTTAACGCCTTGATGCCGATGGTTCTCCTATACGTGCTCGGGTGATATTTTTGGCTGGTGTGCGAGAGTATACGCGCAGCTATACATACATAGGTGCCTTTGCTGCGTCGACGCTGTTGCATAATTGGCCACGGAGAATGCGCGTGTGCATCGTATACATGTGTGTGCACATCACGCTATAGGGGGATGAGCTGATCGGGCTGACAGTGATTATTGTTGTCATTGTTGGTTTGGCTCCCAAGGTTATTCAGATGTTGGGACTGGGGGGGTGTATTGCGATTGTTT